GCTTTTCCAGAAAATACATAAACAAACACTATCAACTAGATATTGAGAAGGAAAATGTTAGGTCAGATTTGTCAAGAAATTTAAAATCTAGTTCGGGACCATAGGGAGAGAATCAATGAAACAGTCAGTAGTTGACCTAGTACAATGGTGCAAAAAAGCACCAAGGAACTTTGTCTACATGACTACATTTATGAAAATCTGGATCAAAGGATTCACCAAGTTAATAGACCAGAAGTCTATTTGGTGAATATCCACTTTACAGACTTTTTGAAGAAAGTATGTGTTAGGGTATAAGGATCCAGTCATCCAGCCTTCTTTCAAAAGACAAGCCCTGGGCAGGACTGGTGAATGGATTCAGTGTGTAGAAAATTCAGGTACCTCTTGACCAAATCAACTAGCATAAGCATGTCAGAAGAAGATGACCCCATTTGTGAATAAATAGATATTTAAGTCCTTACTACACAAATGAGAATATTATCAGAGACTTAAGAGAGAAGAAATGCTAAAATATTAGGAGCTCATTACTTTTCAGAGTAATACAAGGCTTCTGAAAATAGTAGTTTGAAGAACTCGGTAGCAGAATCTAAATACATTGCTTGGTAAATTGTCTCTTTCACTTCAGATCTGCACCTGGGGAAATGAGGAAAAATGAAAAATCTTGTTTTAAAAGATGATTAAGTGTAAGCAATATTGAGGAGGAGACATTCAACATAGCTTTATATCCTCTGGCAAAGGAGGAAACAGGTTAATTTGAGGATTTGGAAATCACACCCATAGGAGACAATTTAAATGTTTTCATGGGCAGAGGGCAAGACAGATGCCCACAAAGTGGTTCTTCAGTTCATCGAGCCTTGGTGTAAGCCCTGAAGTTGTTGATGCTGCCAAAATCTGAGGAGCAACAGAAACGTGAGCTTAAAGTGAGGGAACTAACTCTTACTTTAGTCACCAATACTGAATTATTTTAATCTAAAGAAATAAGCAAACAAACCCAACATGTCTTTTGATGCTTCTAAGGAAGCCATCAAGATAATATGTCTTAAGTTGAAAAGGCAGGTAGCTGCCCATATCAGAGGCTGCAAGAGGATCATAATGAACTAAAAAAGATACATCCTCCAAAAGGAGAGTAGGCATTTTGTGGCAATGAGATATCTCACAATGAAATGCACAAACTACCTGATTTTTAAACAGAAGTTGATCTTACCCCTCCCATGATAGTGACATTAGCCAAGAATTAAATGCCATATATCCATGAACACAGAGATTGATTTTTAAATTTCTGTCTGTATGAGATATGATTAGCAGGGTTTTTTGTTTGTTTTTTGCAAACTGAGAGGCACAAATTCAGGGGGAAAGTGCTGTGCTGTTATAGTTAAGGGCTGATTCATTTCAGATTAGTGGTCACAGTGCCACCCATCCTACCGAATACTACAGACTATAAATATGGGCTGGGTGAACTGTCACGGGCTCCTGGGCAAGACTGTCATCTGAAACACAGGTGGTGCCTGACATTCATTTCAACATGAGCAGGAAATGCTAGGGGGTACTAGATGTCAGACTGGTAATAAGTCGGATTCTCTCAGTGATTCAGCTACTCCCTTCCTACCAGTAGACAATACAGAGAAACAGCACAGTCTTCAGTTTACTGTGCTAGCATATAGAAAGGCTTTCATTTTGAGTACATCGCCTTTTTGGTGTACTGAATAGTACCCGGGGATTGGAAATAGTGAACAAAGCTTCTCAAAGAGTCTAGTTGATAATCAGGTAGCAACCAAGACATTAAGGGTGTGATACTGCTAGAGAGCAACAGGACCAAGTTGTCACAAAGACTGTCCAATTGCCGTGTTTTCCCCACCACCCGGAACAAGAAGGACCATCTGTTCATTCATTTCTTCACTGGTTCCTAGTGTAGCGCATCAGCATAGAGCTTTACAGCTGAACTAGCCAGTTTTGCATCTTGGCAACATTAGGAAACAGGGCAAGTTACTCATCCTATCTGTGTCTCAGTTTTCTCAACTGTAAAGTAGAAATAAAAAGTATATCCCTGAAAGAATTATAATCAAACTAGTTAACATACATAAGGCTTTTAGAGCATAGTGTTTTGTAAGTTTTAGCTGTTACTATTCTCAATATAGTTTTATTGTTATATTCCCTGACAATTAAAGTTTAGTCTCTGTGAGTCTAAGTGGATCTTTCAGTCATGATATCCATACCTTCTTGCACTTAAGCTTCTTAATATTTTAAGTAAAAAATTTAAAATATGTGTAAATGAATGAGTTAGCCTATCCTTGCATTAACATTATATCTGGTAGTAATTAGGGAGGGAAAGAGAAGTAAAGATGGAATTTTATAGCTAAACATAAACTTGTCCTAATTTTCCCTTAAGAGTCGTATGAGGGTAAGAAACAGGAACCATGAAAATTGTCCTCAATTAAGTTCCCTTCCCCCATGTAGCTACTTTTGTCCCTTCATTATCTTTGTTCTTACATTGTTGGCCTTCTGCATATCTTTGTCACTGCAGCACCAATCCGGATTCCTTCTATTGCGAGGGGTGAAATATCCAACTCAAGGAAAGGGCATTTACTGGCGTAGGTACATGTGAAGTCTAAGGGTTAGGTAGTTTGAGTGGAGCTCATATAACATCATCAGGACTCAGGCTCTCTGCTTCTGTTGACTCTGTTCTACCCCACGTGGACTTCATTTTTAGGCTTAACATGGAACCTAAAAGAACTGCCACCAAATCTCAGCCTACAACCTCCCAGATGTGGATCTGACAAGAAAGACCCACCCGTTGTCTTTCAGTGGCTGTTTGGACTACGTGTCCATTCCGAACCAATCTTGGTGGCCAGAGAAAGCAATCCTTTGGGTGCCAGGTCTGAGTCAGAGAGTTGCCCCTGGAGCTGGGAGTGAAATGAGTTCTACCTGAAGCAGAAAGCCTAGGAAAGGGGAACATTTATATAGAGGAAAATTAGTGTTTTGTTATCTGTACATGTGAATGAGCAGCAGTAAAAATAACACAGGCTCACTGTACCCATCCTGTAGCTCTGATCCTGCCCAACCTATTCTCAGAGCCCCCAAAAGATCCTTTTTGCCTCTTGCATAAAATCCAAAGTTTGAATGTGGCATTCAAGGCTTTCAACCATCCTCATTTATTTCTTACCACGCTAAGTCTTGCATTCCAGGCTCCAATGTATTTTCAGAATGTCTTCCTCCTCTTTATGATGTTTGATTTTCTGTTTCTTCCATCCATCTTGTTGATATCTTTTATATTATTGAGAGTCCAGCTCAAATGCTACCAGACAAAAAACCAGTGAAGTCAGGGTTATTATTATATTCATTGAATAGGTTAGGACATTAGAACACAAAGAGTAAGGGACATGGTCAAGATTACAATGTTCGTAGTGCCCGAGTTCAGATTCTCCTCCGGCATTCTGGATCCGGAGACCTTCCTAACTATACTCTCTCAAGTATGGAAAGTAAGACGGACACCTTAATGATACTGGACCTACATCAACCTCAGATCCCCGAAAACATGTATGGTAGAGGGAAATGTGTCCTATTTGGAATTTTGTTTACCCTGGTTTTCTTTAGGGTAAATAAGGACATGGGTGTTTCCCATTGATAGTGTTTTGCTCCTGTTATGTCTCCAATTTGTAAAATGTGACCATCAAGTAGACTAGTGAGTGCTATATATAGGTTTTGAAAGATGGACCTGGTTAATGTTTAAAATTTTGTCATCTTCATAATTTGAGTTTCAAGGTAAAAAACATTGTATAAACATGTGTTTAATGCTATTCTCTACCAAATGTTGGATGTCTAAACACAATAACAACAACGACAACAAAAGACACACAAAAACAGCCCAGCATAGTCTGTAGCCTCAAGTTGCTGTCGTCTAGTTAAGGAGAAATGACTGTAAGCAAATTCAATAACATTTAGTGCCATGCTTACAGTTTGAAGAAGGTAGTTGGTTTTTATTAATTTTTTTTTTTTTTTGCTTGGGGGAGTTTCCAGCAACAACAACCAAGATTTAAGATGCTTTTACTATTGTAGATGCATGGATAATATAATTTTTTTTTTATTTTGATAACTATTTTTAACTAATTTTTTTTTCATTTGATAACTGTTTCAGGCACTATGCTGTGTGTTGGGTCTAAAATGGTGAAAGGTAGTCAAGGTCACTGCCTTCATGGCACTTACATAAATGAAAACCCAGCTGAATTAGTAATTGAACACGTTATGAGAACTGCAGTGAAGGAGTGGAGCCGGGGGCAGTGATAGAGACTATCAGAGGGACCGTAGATATGTGGATGTCAGTATTTTAGGAACTGAGAACTGAAAAAGAATAGAAAAGAGTCAGTGGAAGCCTGGGGGAAACCGCATTCCGCACGAAGGGATGAAGGGATGTGGAGAAGGTGCTGGTGCAGTAAAGACCTTGGGGCATCCCAGGAAGGCCGGGGTCTGCAGAGCAGGGTCTGTGTCAGGTGAGTGGCTGGAAATGAGGCTAACGGGGCAGGAAGGTTGGCCTTGTGGTCATGGGAAGACGCCTGGATTTTAAGTACAGCGGGAAACTATTGGCAGCGGGAAGCATGGAGACACACCCAGGTTTAGCGAGGTGGCGCTGCACACCCCGAGAGGGGCCAGGCTGCCGGCCTGGAGGGAGCTGTGCATTGGAGGGCGGTGCCGGGGGTTAGGCCGGGAAACAGAGAGAGGTGGGCACGTTTGAGAACTACGTGGGAGGTAGTGTCTAGAATGACATCCAGGTTCTTATCTTCAGTTCCCGGGAGTGCAAGGCACCACGCACTAGAAATCATTACGGAGTAGGGCTGGTGGGGTGGGTAGACTGGTCCAAGCAAACAGACTTCAGAACAAATGCTTTCTGCTGGATTCCTTGTCCAGTTTTGTATAAGGCTCACATGTAAGAACCTCCTGTTGATTCTATTAGCAGAATCTCCTCTTTCCCGTGCTGACCCTCTCCTGACTCCACGTTGCCTTCCTTACAGTTTCAGGCTGAGAGCCAGCTTGAGAAGCCGATGGTGCCTGTAAGAGAGGTTCCCGCCGCAGTGGTGATATGTACTCACAGTCGCATGTTAGAGTGGCCACAGCTCTCCCACCTTCAGGCTCCCCCAGAGAAACCTGTCCCCAGGCTTTCTCCAGAAAGGTTAGTTCTGGCTGTTATTTCTGGGTCCCTGGGCTAGTCTCCCGCTGCCTATTAGGCACAGATTTGTGAAACCCATGTTTCAGCACTGTTCTGAACTTGTAATCATACATGCTTTGCACAAAGGACTGATAATCTTTTCCCATTTCCTTGGTTCTAGAGATAAACACTTGTGGATTTATATATTGCCATGTCTGAGAAATTCTAATTTCATTTTGAGATATTACTGTGACTCAGTGCTTTCAAATAGCATCTGCTTCTTTTATCATCTGTTCTGGCTTTGCAGGAGTAGGAAATTTTAGAGAACAATTAATATTTCCAATTTGTGAAGTTGAAAAATCTCTCTTACGGTCACTGCTACGCCATTGGTTTCTTTCTCAGTGATACTTTGAGGTAGACATTATTCACATTGTAATACGAGACAACTGAGACTCAGGAACTAAGCGAACTGCCCGGTGTTGCCCAGCTAGAAAATGATGCCGCAGGTCTCAAATTCATGGCTATAGCCCTGTGTTTATTTTTTCTTTTGTTGAAGCAACTTGTTTACTGTGAGAGGTAAGGAGGTTATATTTCAAGATATTTTGCTACATTCTGTTTGGACATAAAGTTGTTTTCTATCAAGGCAAGTGTTCTAATGGTTCCAGAGCCAGTCATTCAGAGCATTAGAGTCAAGCGCCAAGTGCCTAGAAGGGTTTCTTTGCATCAAGAAAAGCTCTGTCCCAGGAGCAGCCGTCTTGACTCTTTAGCCAATTTATAAATTGATTTCTTAAGTTACTACAAGAAATAGAAAAGGAGTATCGCTGTGAACTCACGCAAACAAAATTCAGAATATATGCTCTGCAGCTAATAGGTCAAACAGTTTCATTTCCATTTAGCAAAGGCAACAATTTCTATACCAATGTCCTGGCCACCCGCCTCAGCTCAAGGGAACTCAGAACCCATTTAGAATGCAGAACATGGCTCCAGGGAAATCCTTCTCCCAGGGGAGTATAACTTTTTTTGCCATTCATGTTTTCAAGAGCAAGTTGCATGAAAACAAATAAACTCTTTGGAAATGAAGCCACATTTTATAGCAGCTCCATACCTTTATGTTATTATTTCCATGTTTGCTTCAAAATTACCTTAATGTTACAATTTGAGCAACACAGAAATGCATAAAGGAGCCTGACTCAGAGATGTTGCGGATGAGGCTCAGAGATGAAGTGATCAGCCCTGGAAAATGGCTGAGCTAGAAGCTGAGTCCGGGCATCCTGAGCCCCACTTTGGTGGCCAGGCAGGGTCTGACCGTCCAGCAGTGACGGGTGTACATAATGGATGCCACACACGTGCCAGCTCCTTCCCTCCCAGTGAAAGGACAAACCTGGGTGATCCCTTAACTTTATTCCTTACTTTTTAAGATCTTATCTCTAATCCAGTTTGGATTCCTTCCTGAACTATCCAGATTAGATTAAGATGTCATGTTTTTTGATCAATCAAGACTATTTTAGGGACGTTCACCCTAGGCCAGAGTCAAGCATAATATTCTGAGGGCTATTGGTTGTCACTTGTTGTGAGTGTTATTTTTATGTGTCAGCTTAGCTAGGTTATACTTTTAATTCCTTAAAATAAGTCTGTGCATTTATGTATCTATCTACAGATACATAGACAGATACACATAATTATAACTATATATTTATATATAAATGTAAACATTTATATATAAATCTCTACACACACACACATCCTATTGGAACCCTTTCTTTGGCCAACTCTGATACACCTATAAATTATAACTCCAAAATTAATTGCCTCTCTCATTTTATTACATATTCAATTATAAAAATAATGCTTAATTATTTTAGCAAGTCCAAGAATACAGAATTGTAGAAGTAATATGTTAATACTCCATGTTTCTGCTTCCTTGTTTTATATCCTTCCATACCTTTCTCCACAAAACGCACACATACACAAATGCATACCCGTTTTGACATGTTTAGAATTTATTTTGTTTTATTTTTAACAGTGGTTACATTCTACATCAGGGGTGGGGAATGTCCAACCCAGGGCTGCATAGGCCCACAAAATCATTTGGTCTGACCCTGCCAAGGCCTCACCAAAGCGAAGCAGTTCGAGCCATCACATTAGGGATGAGTTAATTAAATGTTTGACCAAATATGGCAGGCTAATTTTTAAGCTGATAATTTTTTATAGCCCTCAAATGATGTTGTAAATATCCAAATGGCCTTTGGCAGAAAAATGATTCCCTACCCCTGCTCTATATAATACTATGTAACTTGTTTTTTCCCAATTGAGTAATACATTATATTATATAACTACCTCTATGTAAATACTTATAGAACCAATTTTAAAATTGTTGCATACTAGTCACTATATTTACCATAAATTAATTAACATTTCCCTATTGATGGGCTTTTGGGTCATTTTAATAATTTTTGCTACGTCAAATAATGCTGCATTATGCTTGTACTTTCAAGTTTAGGTAGTCTTATTTTTATTTTTGTATAAAAATTGGGATTTCTAGGTTAAAGAATATGAACATTTAAAATTTTAATTTATATTTATAGATTACTTTTATAAAGGTTACAGCAGTTCATTGTTCTGCCAGCAACGTATGTAGCCCCATATTCTCACCAGCACTGGCTATTGGTTTTCAGTGTAATGAATAAAAAATTAGATCCCATTTATATTATATTTTTAATTTCCTTGCTACTAAAATGATTGACTGTATTTTCATGTGGTTATGACTGGTTGACATTCCTTTTTCTATCCCTTTTTCTTCATTTCCTTTGCCCATTTTTTATAGCATTACTTTTCTTTCCTGTTTTAAACCATCTCTGAGAGACTTGCATCTTTACGAAATGTGGTCTTTCAATCTACATAATGCGTCCATAAGCATACAGGAGTCAGATCGATGTTTATATAGATCATTGTGGTTTAATTGCGCTGACACAGTCCTCCCACCCCCAGTGAGAAACAAAAGGACCGGTGGGAAGGTGATGTGGTGGACCTCGATGTTTCTGTCGGTGGCACGGAAATGAAAGAAATTCTAAAGAAAAATCATCTTGTCAACTTCCTCAAACTAGAAATGTATTTAGACGGCAGTATAGATCTAATGCCCAGCTTGCAGAATTGCAGAATTTTCCAATTTGGTGTTGCTCCAGGTTAAAAAACATACCAGCTGAAAAATGTGAATTGGAATCATTTGCCATCCGTTCTTAATATAATGACTGATTTCCCACTCTGGATTCAGCAAGCTGCAGGCAATGGGTTTGAACTGAGTCCAGGTGGAAGGGGGCCAGACATATAAAAATTTAAGGCCTCTATTGCACAACTCCCTGCAGAAATTGTGCAAATAATAGAGCTGAAGTGCTTTCTGCATGCTGTGCAACCCAACTCTTTTGGCAACCTGATTAATTCCTTGCCCTTTTCTATAGTATGCACACTTAGGAAATATACTAAAAGGTGACAGGAGCCATAATAGAATCTGTCAGGTATTACATTGAAGGTGTTATCCTCTTCGTTTTTAGTTTAGAAGAAACAATTTTCAAAAAAGTTCTCATGAAGCTGCGATGTGATTATTACCCCTCAGTTCTGTTTTCTTCTTGTTAATACCACTAATGCCTGTAACATGTAAATCAAACCCCAGAGCTCTTGGTTATTCTACATTTATGTTGTATTCTACAGAGCTAACTATAAACATGCACCCAGGCTTATTAAAAATGGGCTTAATTAATGCAAAATGCTTTTAATTGCACCACATTAAAATGGACCACCTTTGCATATCTCTGTCTCCGATAAATGTACACGCAGCCTTCAGACACTGAACTTTCATGCCCCCTCACCCTGCCTTTTGTGCCTTTTCTCAAAAGGAGACTGTGAAACATGGATAACTTCTGAGCATAAATAATAGGATTATTTAATCCAAGTTTTCTTAGAGTAGTAACTTGGTTTAAATGGGACTGAACAAACTCAGTCCAGGAATGAGTAACTAATTTGCTTTTAGGTGTCATATTTCGTGTTCCCCTTAACAGATAACTCCAGTTTTAGTCTTTACAGACATGGAGGTGTTGATGTTATCGAGGTTCCATGAGATAGTAATGCTAAGAATGACGTGCCAGATTCTACCCAAGTCACCTAAACCAGGGCTTGTCAAAAGGGACTAATGTGCTAAGTAGATACTATTTTTTCCAAATGGAAATATTTTAGAGGTGCTGTGTATACTATTTTTTATACTTGTAAATTTTTTTTTAATTGCACACTAGGAACCAAGGGATAGTTTCAGTATTTGGCAAGTGAATTATAATATATGAATTGAAAGCCAAATTGGCAAAAACGGGGGTGTGCCGACTCAATGCGCTATCGGCCAGGGCACTGAGCTCTTGAGAAACTCTGGTGAGGATTGTATTACTGGTTCTGGGAGAGTTTAGCACGGCATCGGAAGCTGAAGAAATGAGTCAGAATGATTTTGTTATTAGGCAACCTATAGTCAGAGTTGAATTCTGCATTTGTTTTGTAGGTTTTGGTTTCCAAATGTTTCCTTAGAGTAGGTAACTTGGTTTAAATGGGACTGAACAAACTCAGCTCCAGGAGTTAGTAACCAATTTGCTTTTAAGTGTCATATTTCATGTTCCCCTTAACAGGTATCACATGTTTTCAGTTGGTCTTTTCTGTATATTGACATTGGCTTAGGGGGGAAAGGAATTTAAACAATAAAGCCCTAGCATACTTAGAGAGTATATCCATAAATCATGCTGAGCTACAACATCGGTGTATGTTTGGGATATAATTACATAGCATGCCGTAAAATGTTTATATGTGTGTATGTGTCATTCACGTCTGAAAATACTCTTTTTGGGCAATAGTCTAGCTGTGGCCTGTTGACCTGAAGAAAAACATCTGG